TAAAGCAAAACAAAATCAAGTTTCCATATGATATACCGTGCGGCTGAGTGTGTGTGTGGGTGTATTTACAAACACCAGAGCCCTGCAGTCATTCATGTCCAGGGAGTTTTCTGCTGCAGCCAATCACTCATCGGGAATGCTTTTGAATCAATATATTGGCTTCTTGGGGGTGGGCAGCATGAACTTGGCTAGCATCTGGGAATATGCATTAATATTCTCAAGCTGTGCTAGAGCCTGACCTTGTTATTATAATTAGTATTATTAACAACATAGGATATGGCTGCAAACCTCTTTTTAAATAGTATTGACCAGCATGACCTTCCGCTAAGTCAGTGCCACAGCCAAGGACAAGCCAGGGACACGATCCACGCTTTTCATTAATACAGCTAATTACATTAAAAAGTCATTATTTGTAACTGGGCATGCCACAAATTAGTACCACTTAACGTGAATGCAGGTCATTCATACCAACTACATTCATGTACAAGAACCCGAATCCTTATTGTGCCATTGCCTAAACGACTGTGGATCACACACAGACAGCTCATCTTTAGAAGACTTCCTCTCCTTTCTTTTCAATCGCCTCAACTTTGAACAACTATATTACATAGCTTTCATAGGAAAAATCCATCCAAACTAGAGTTCTAAAGCCCAATTATCATTCATGATATAACTAATATTATATTGTTTTCACATCTTCTATTTTTGACAGAAGAAACCCTTAGGCTGGCGTCTCTCCGTCTGGCGATTCCTCTCCCTCTCTCTCTTTCTCTCCTCTCACATGATCCTTCTCAAGGAATAAATCAATATATATTTTTTAATCCTAGCTATGTATGCACTCTATGACATATCTAATGGGGTAAGGGCGACTGAAGATAGGGCGGTCTGATTGACAACATGCAGTCAGGTTTCCCTGAAGCACAAATGTCGACTGCATATCCAACGATTTCGACTTTATTGCACCGCTTCACCACCCATTTGTTTACATTATTTGTTATATATATATATATTATTTTTGGATTGGTTTGACAGAGTCGAGAGGCTTTTGCAAGTGTTTTCGGGCGACACAATGCACCTTCCATGCCATCTTCCACTCATGCGCCCCGTTGCGGCCTGGAAGAATGGCATTGGAGGAGGCGACGAACTATTTTTCCCCGTTAACGTGTTCACTTTTCAAGTGCTTCCTTTGTGACTGACTGACTGGCTGACTGACTGACTGACTGAGCGCCTGTCTACGTATATAATGCATGGTCGGGCGCTCGGCCGGCATAAACACTGACACAGCCATGACGTGTGCCTTTCAAAGAAACGCAAACGCGAACCGTCGAATGCCAGTCCCGGTCCCAGTCCCGGTCCCAGTCCCAGTCCCAGTCCCAGTCCTCAGACTCAGTCTCAGTCTCAGTCCGAGCTCTCAGTTCCCAGTTCTCAGTGCTCAGTTTCAGTCACAGTCACAGTCTCAGTCTCCAGTCACAATCGCAGTGTCAGCTCGTGCGAGCGCGAAAAGCAAAGATTATAATGCCAAACAACTTCAGAATGTTCCTTAGGCAGTTGACGACGCCAAACTTCGTCGTTAACCCTTATGTGGCCCATCTGATTTATGCCCAATTGTCATGACGCACACAAATCCAAAGTCCCCGGAATGTATCATGTGTGCCTATATATATATATAATAGCTAGTGACAAGCACACCCAATGCACACCAAAGGGTTAATGTCGAATTTTAGTTAAAACATAAGCTAGCTAGATACCCTGTAAGAGATCTGTGAGTGCAGAAGACAAAGTTAGCTTCTTAAAAAATATTTTAGCTTATAGTTCTATCGTTGTGGGAGTCGGCCTTTAAAATTCCCTACATCAGCGCCTCTTATTAAACGATCTCAGGGAAAGATACATTTAAATTGCATTGCAATTGATGCTGCTCGGAGAAGAAATCTGTTTGAACAAGCCGGAATGGAGAAAGATAAACTTTGATTTGATTTTGGGAGCTGCATATTCCTAATTTCTCAACTCATATTTGTCCTTTTAATAGCTACATTTCTGCCTTAATATAAGGCCAAATATGGCCTTAAATAATGTCTATAATTTCGCACAAAATAATATTAAAATATATGGAAATATATTTTCTTATCAAATATATTATATATTTTATAAATTCAATATTATATGAAATGAAATCTATAGTGTCCCATCCAATATATAAAAATATACGTAAATGTATATTTTTCGACAATTTCCACATAATGCAGGCTAATTCTTTGCATTAAAGTTTGGGCAAATATTTGTGTAGTTGAAGACCGCATTTTCTTTCTTTTGGGAAATTTTGAATAATTTCGGAAAACTTCTAAACACTCATGAAATACCACATGGTCGCACATTTGTCTTGTTCTATGTGTGGGTGTATGCCCCACAGAAGACACTCGACGACTGCAGGGTATAAAAACTTAGCTGATTTGACGTCGCACTCGAAAATCGCGCACACTCTCTTGTCGCACATTCAAGTCAAAGTCACTACTGCCATGTCGGACCCAACTGACGGGGCCCTCATACCAATGCGAATGCCGGCGGTACAACTGAAAAAGTCAACCTGGTGGACGTGGACGTGGCACGACACAACGGCTCAAACGGCTCAAACGGCAAACGGCGAACGGCAACGACAACACGACATCATTTTGTACGTCACTCAAAATGTTCGTAGGCTGTCAGGGAGACAGTTCAAAAAATGAAATATATACATACACATTATAACAAATTCTAAAACGCAAAAGAGACACTCACTCATACAGACACATGGTCCGACCGTCCGTCCGTCCGTCTGTCCGGCAGTCAGTCATTCAGTCAGTCAGTCAGTCAGTCAGTCAGTCAGTCAGTCAGTCAGTCAGTCAGTCAGTCAGTCAGTCAGTTAGTTAGTCAAGCTTCATTGTTCGTATGTGCATTCGATTGAAGGTGTAAGCGTACGGATCAGCCCCAGATCCCAAGACCGAGGACAACCCCAACTCAGCCGACACACTGACTCTACAGAAAAGAGGGTGCGAGGTCTCTCTGGAAGCAGCGGCACTCAAGTGGGCCCGTTCCCGTTCCCGTTCCTGGTGCTGGCAACGATGACACGGACACCGACACCGTCACCGTCACCGTCACCGTCGCCGTCACAGACACGGACACGGACACGCTTGGCTGCCATATGAGTCCAAGTATTGTTGTCATTGCTGTTGTTGGTGGTGTTGGGGCAGCACCTTTTGATTTCATTATTGATTCAATTACAACGTCAATGTTAAGGAGGCGCATTTGGTCGTCGCCAGGATTGTCAAGTGAGGCGCTGCCAATCACATTTACCCATCAACATATCCCAACTGTCAGTTTCCATTTTGCAATCGGCATCGGGCAACAACAAAATATTCGTATATCATTTGTATCGTTTATGAGCTTTCATGATTCTCTACACGTTGACATGTGCCTTTTTAAAAAATATAATACACATCTGATAATACTGCTAATTGCTTTATACAATATTTGCATTGTTAAAAACGAATTTAAGCTGCTAACTGTCCAACTTTTAAAGCCAAACAAACTTGAGAAATGGCTAGACAAAAAAGTGTACAGAAAAACTAGAGTCTGCACGAACTTTAGATATCCACTACTTGGGTAAGAGTTAGTAAAATATAAATGATTCGAAATAACTCCTAAGGTTTTAGGCATAGAAAAGAGACAGAGCAGAATATCGCAGATAAGAATATGCATCGCCTGGAAGATAGTAAGCATTAGTTCATATCTTACTGAACAGCGAGAATGAGGGCTCGAATCCCTGACAAATGTATTATTATCTCAGTCGTAGGGCATAGTGGTCAGTGCTGAATAAACCTAAATAAAGGTAGATATATAAATATATATAGCTATATCCCATACCCTAATTAATAATATTAATATAATTATATACATAGATAGTTCCTAGCTATATCTCATATCCTTATTAATAATAATAACATATCACATGATCTTCTTCCTTTTCACTCTAGTTGCTTAACAAAAAGCAAATCAATGCCTTTTAATTGTAGTTTATTACCGACCCATCTTCCAACTCTAATGAAATGTATCGCCATATTATCTTCCTAGCGGAAATGGCGATAAAATGCATGTTTGCAGGGTGTATTCGTGTAGACAGTACAATGCCCCGAAAACTGACAGAAAAAAAAACACCTAAATGGTACTGCTAATAAGCCGTTTAAATTTTTTGTATTTTTTTTTTTTTTTTGGTGCTAATGACAATAATATTTGATTAGCTAGTTTAATTGGTTTTCTTTTTCCACTTTGTGTCAACTTTGCTGTCAACTTGGCTGCGATTTCGAAGTTGAATTCGGCTACGCGGGGAGCGTGCTTTTGTGCATACACTGCCAATGATATCTTACGTAAGTTCGGTTTTTTAATGACCGCATATCGATAATTATCTATCGATACCATTTAGTAGTGGAACGTAAATGTTTCACAAATTATCGCATATTTATTACATCAAATATTCTGGTAAAGATTATTTATGCGTCGACTTGATGTGCTCATAACTTTTGAATACGAATAGTTGTTGTCTGTCCCACTGAATGTCGTGGGATCTTGTGTTTGCACAGGCATTTAGCACATTTTTCGTATCGTATTAGAGAACACTCGGATTAAATTTTATGGTCGTTTATTATATTTTGTCATTTGATTTAAATTAACACCATTTCGTGGCATTCGTTTTGTGCCGAATTCCCATACGCGCCAGTACAATAACTGTTTTTAACAACAGAGCATCTGATTGTCATTGAAAATGGTTTTTGGCTTGATGTGTGTGTGTGTATGGGTGTGTGCTCAGGCAATCGATAATACTGCTATCGATTATTCAAATAAATCGATGCTTGATTTAATACAAGTCTGAAATATGACAATTTTAAACTTTATAGATACAGATTACAGATACTTCCTGTTGTCTGCTTGTGATCTTATCTAATGAGCTTTTATTTCATTCTTCTTTGCAGATGTTGACTTCGAAGCCTAATGCAGTTTACTCAATATGTAAGTATCGACTGCACCTCATTGATCTTAATGTTTGGCCGCAGATATATTTGTCCAACGGCTGATCTGGCCGAGCCGATGCACATTTATGGGACTTTTACATTTGCCGGCCGGTCACTCATAGGCGTTTTGACAATGTTACAACAGACTAATTTTTATTGTGGCATCTTAAGCGGGCCAAGATGGCCAGAGATATTCGCCTCAGATACGGCAAACACAATAGAGTCACAAAGCTATTAAAAACTGATATAAATCTCATTAAATGCGATGGTTGTAGCACATGAACAAAGCCGCCGCCTTGCCTTCAATCAATCGTTTGTTTCGCTCCCGGCTACAAATAAGATATAAGAATGGGCTCTTGTGTTCGGTTCGGTTCAGTTCAGTTCAGCTCTGTTTAGTTCGGTTCAGTTCAGTTCAGTTCGTATCGTTTCGTTTCGTATTGCATCGTATCGTTCGCTTTCAAGTCTTCTTCACAAATGCCTTTTATATGGCAATGTGTTTACGAGTCTTTCTGTCCGTCTCTCTTACTGGCTGTCTGGGCTGTCTGTCTTCAGGGCTCCGGTTTACCTGGCCAAGTGAGCGTATCCATAACTCATAAATTTGTCGTCAGGTTGGTGACGCCACGAAAGAGGCGTGAACGTTGGCGAAATAAAGGTTAATCGGGTATATTTGACCAAAAAAAACTCTCCTCCTCACAGTTAACGAAAGCCCAGAGCGCATTCGATAAACTATTTTTTCCATTAACAGATCAACTGGACTTTTGATTTCATCGATATTTATCGATATCGAAACTGTCGATAATATTAATGCCAATTAGAATTAAAAAATAACTGATGTATCTCGCTTAACTGACTTACAATATTATATCGATAAATATCGATTAATGTTTACATCGATATTTCAATATGCAAACTATCGATATAGGCATTCAAACTTAAGAGATTCAGTTGATGTTCATAGCATTGATCCTATATTCTCTTCTACGGTAAAATTTGTCTGCATAAAGCCTTATCAAGGATCGATAACTTTCGATATGGAATATGGTTTTGTCTCACTTGAAACCATTTGGGTGGAATATTTGGGCATATTGCCAACTTCACACCTTCTCTGCAGATCGATCTTGCCTCACGTTCAACCGTTTGCTTCTCGCTATCTGCTGATCTGGTCGGTTAAGCAACTTGGTTCTTGATTCAATTACACAGCCGCAGCTCCAAATTGCGATCAGTGAGCCAGGGGTCTTACAAAGCTGTGAACAATACGGAGAATGCGATCTCCCGCTGTGCCCCCAAACATTCGCATTCACTGATCGGCTCAGACATTGGGGACCGGGTACAAGTAGCGCCACAGTCGCAAAAGATGAATATGCATTTGTCGCCCAAAATGTGTCAGTGCCAGCTCCGGTAGAGCTATGCCCATGAGCAGTACCCACAGCCTTAGCCACAGCCACAGCCACAGCCATAGCCATAGCCATAGCCATGTCCCTGTTCATGTCCATGTTCGTGTCCATGTCCTTCCATTGAGCACTCAACTGGATCCCAGCGTCTGTTGGCGCTCTGTCGTTGCCTTTCCTTCCCACCTCTGGATATTGTTGTTGTTGTTCTGGCTGTTGTTGTTGTGGTTGCGGTGTAGCTGTTGCTGTTGCTGTTGGCGGTGCAACAGCGGCGTCCGTCAACGATCCTAAAGCGATTTGCATATTAAAAACTTCTTTATATTTTTTTTTTTTTATTTATTTTTGTTGTATTTTTTGTTGAAATCACTTTGTTAAGCTTTGTTCGGCGGCAGTCGGAGGCGATCAGAGGCGTTCATAATCAAAACTGAAGTGATGCGGTGGTCACGCCGCTGGCGGCTCGCCCGCCTTTGGCTTTGACTGTGCCACAGAGCATCTTCTTCTTCTTCCTCTTCTTCTTCTGTCGAGTCGGGAGGAGTCGGAGCGTTAGCTGCCGGCTTGACCAACATATTTTATAATATGCAGCAAGCCGTGTTGACACTTTTTATGTGTTTAATAAATTAAGTTTTACAAAATAGAGAGAATACGACACGCTGTCGCTTCTGGGATCCCTTGCTCACCGCCAACCCCCCCCCCCTCCCCCCTTCCCCTTCCCCTTCCCCTTCCTCCCACCCCCGCCTCTAGCTGTTTGGGATCTTGGGACATTCGGTTCGTTTAATGGTTGACATTTGAAATTTTTGTTGGTCGACTTTAACACGCATTTATGGCTTCTGCTTTATGGCCTTCGAAATGCGTTAAATAAAATGCTCCTCAAAAATATATGTATATATTTGTATATATGTGTATGTGTAAAGCCAATAAAGATGATTGGTGTCTGGAATGGCTTTTTTTTTTTTTTTTTGTTGGTATATCTCACAGCTAAGCCGCGTTGAAGATTTTTCATTTTTATTAATTTTTGGTGGTCTTTGAAAATTATGAAATTTTTTAATGAATTTCAATGGAACTTAAAGGTGCTTCATTAGAAGCTAGCTGGACACTTGGCATCGTTTAAATGGAAATCAATTATAAGAAAGAAAACAAACTGCAAGGAATGTTGGCTGGGCATATTGATTCATGCTTTTAAGCGTTGTTGCAAAAATGTCACTTAATTTTAAATATGGTCAACGCCTGAGATAATTACACAAATAATTCAATACAACAACAGATCAATGAGAAGCTGAGAACTCGTTTGGCAAGACTTTCAAACGAAATACGCCAAACTCAATAAATCGACAGGCAGGCGAAATACAAAAAAAAAAAATATATATATATATACATATGTGCATATCAAGCGAAAGCAATTAAAAGTTGGTCAGGCGTTCATCTGCTCTGGGCAAGTGGCAAGAGGCAAGAGTGTCAAGTAAACTGGGCTTCGAGCTTGCCGTAATCGAAATAAATGTCATTACAGCCACAACAGCAGCAACAACAACAACAACAACAACAACAACGGTAACATTTATGAACAGGTGGCAATTAAAATACAATTTGTGCAGTATTTAAATAACTTGGCGAGATGACATATGTCATGCAAACTGCCCACAGACGACAAACAAAACAAGCAATTGCCGTAATAACAATACTATCGAAACAATACGAGTTTAAAGACAAATATATATGTATTTGAATATGTACATATGTATGTGTTAGAAATGTCAATAACAAAGTTATTTATTGAAAGTGACATTGTTCAGAGCTTGAGTAATTGTTTCTATATGACAACGCAATACTAGAGCATAGTCAACTAGAATGATGCTCTATAAAGCTACAGATCGGGTTTGAGCCCGAAATTCCAATTATTTACCACAAAGTAAACATTTTTAAATAAAATAATATTTAAATAATGTTCTTTGAATATTATTGCAAACATTTTTGGCTTCTGGCAGTTTCGATTAATAAAAAATAAAATGAAATGGCGTAGAAAATTGCAAAGAGAGTTGAACTTTACGGCGACGCATTGGTTCAAACCGTGAAGCCAAACATTTTTGTTGGGTTTGTAGTCTTGCTATAAAGTCGTATATTCTATAAAAAGGAGAGCACAGATAAGCTCTGGACTAAAGTGAAGTGAGTTGGGAAATATAAATAATATATATTGAGGTAGGAAGTTCTAGAGTTTTCTCCATAGGTAGATACTTTAAACCACAAATAGAAAAAGTTATCATTAAAAAATAGTTATCCAAATGAAATCTAATCTGCGATAATCTGCATATCGAGGATATATATTATATTGTTTATTTTATTTTCTTAAAGAAAATTTCAAAAATTTCATATTTACTCAAACCGCAAAGGAAATGCAATATTTCCTTACAAGAGAAATCCATAAGAACTTTTCATTAGACTCTAAGACACTTAGCTACAGATACAGAAATCTGGTGGTTAAGATCTATGATATATATCTGATTATGCTTTAAAAGTGGTTTATATAGAGTATATGATAGTATAGTGGAGCAAAGCTTAATAACTAGACTCGAATTGGTTTTCCATGATAATTGGTGCATTCTTTGATTAAAATAATTGCCGTATGCGTTTATAATTCCCAAACTGTTCAAGCGCACAACCAACACGAGCTGTCATTGACGACGTTCGGCAACGCCAAATGCTGGCTGCCTCAAGTAATTATTGTTACTCTTCAGCGCTGTCTATGTTGACACATTTACAACAACATGTTGCTATAGAAGTAACACCATATGCCCCATAACATTCGATATACCTATTTAGGTAATATTAGGCACAATTTGTGCTCGCATCGTTTCTTAATGACCAGCTAATGCTGCTTACCATTTAGGAGAAGACCACGTTGCGGTTGCCGCTGCCGCTGCCGTTGCCATTGCCATTGCCGAGGCCGAGGCCGATGACGATGCCGATCCCAATCATAATTTGCGTATCCAAGTCGCACATCAGCCAACGATCGCCAGTCGTCGTCGTTGCGATCGCGATCGCGATCTCGATCACGAGCCAGTGCTGAGGCTAAGACTGTGGCTGGGACTGGGACTGGGGCTGGTGCCATGGCGGTCTTTGGCTAGACATCGACATGGAGATCGGCTCTTGTGCGGCGCACAAGAATGTGACATGGGAATTTGAAGTGGAAGTGGCCATGGTCGACAGCACGAAGACCGTCAGCGTCGTCTTCTTCTCGTATTGGCACTCGCACTCGCACTCGTCTGTGTGTGTGTGTGTGTGTGTATACATTGTCATGTCACGCCGGCGCAGCTCTAGAGAGCAGCTCGTTGAGCCAAATGTCCACTCTGTGTGTCCAGTGACTGTCTGTGCGGCATCGTTACCATCGCTGTGCTTGCTCTCAAAAACCTGAAGTGTCCACTCAGAATTTGTCACATCATTATTCTTATTTTTCTTTTAAATAATCATATTTACACACACGCACACGCACACACACAGTCACACGCACACACGCCAAATACATGGCAGTTGGCCGTGGCGCGCCTGGGAGGTCTTTTGGCCACTTCGTTAGGCCTTTTCGGTGGAACTCCTTGAGCATCAGCAGTGGACAATGTTTCACATGGAGACAGCAACAGTGACAGCGACGGGTGCGTGTGGCGTGTACCCAGAAGGGGTAGATAGAGACGGGGGGGAGCAGAGGGTGTGGTGCACTACATCAATGACAAGACACGAATTCATATGTTTGTGAACCGGTGGAATAATCGCTTAAATTTATTTATTTTAATTACAAAACTAGTGACAATAATTTATAAATTGTCAGTAAAACCCTTAAGTTGCATAAGTGTAATACCCTGTGCGCACTAAATAAGTTTACTAGGGTATATTGAAGCAGCAACTTGCAAAAGGAACATTTGAAACAGCATCAACAGCCAGGTCAAAGCTGTCGTGTCGTTTGTTCAAAATAATATCTCTTATTTATTGGGCTTAGAACATTTTGATTTATAAGTTAAAAGCCTTGATTTTATAATTGAAACAACAAGCTTCCCCACAGACTGCCTTCCTCTGCAACTCCCATTCAATCTATCTTTCGCTTTGCTTAAGATCGCCTTTCTATGCGATTTTCATTGGCTCAAACTTTCATTAATCTGATATGTGCAGACTTTAAATCATTTATATATATTTTTGCTGGCTAAAAAACTAATATTTTTTCTCTTTTTTTATGCTCTTTTCATTGCAGCATGAAAAATTGCTGGACTATTTGAATAACCGACAACGAATCAATTAGGATCTGCAAGGGAAATCTATCTGTATCTAGTCTACCGTATTGTCACAACTATATATAGATTAACAATAGTTTGTAAGGCAGCCGCTCTTGATGAATATTGGGCAGGAAAAGCATACGCATTCGCAGTCGCATTCGCACACACATCCGCATCCGCATACACATCCGCAAGCGCAGCAGCAGACGATCAGCGGCAGCCGCAGTCGCAACACAGATCCGCACAGTGGTTCTGGTTCTGGTGCTGGTGCTAGTGCTGGCACTGGAGCCGCTGCAACCGATTATCCAGCATTGCTACTGGGCTATCGCTATCCGCTGCCGCCCGGACATCATGACCATCGACTGCATATTGAGCACCTCAGGCGCTCCGCTGCGGAGCGTGTGAGGAGTCCCAACGGCTGTCCCATGGTTATGACACCCAGTCGCCGCAGCTCGCCACCGTTGCCGCTGCCGCTGCCGACGCGTGGCCAATCCCAATCCCAAGCCCAGTCCCAGTCCCAGACCCAGTCCCATGCACAGTCGCAGTCGCAGTCCCAATCGCAGTCGCAGTCGCAGTGCATGAGCGCCCACTTTCTGCACTTGCAGTCACAGCTGCATCAGAAGCTCTCCGCCAGCTACTTTCGCAACCCGCCCTCGCCTTCGCCAACGGAACGGGATCGCGACCGGGACCGGGAAAGGGAGAGGGATCGTGAGCGCAACATCTCCGGCAGCGGCACATCGCCGCCAGCGACGAGCATGAGCGCAGCGCACCTGAATCCGCTGAGCGATCTGCAGAATATGCAGCCCTTTGACTTTCGCAAAATCAACTCGTCCACGCTGGGCGCCTTCGGGGCGCCGCCCGGCCCCACAGACTTTGTGCACCATCAGCACCAGCAGGCCGTGCATCTGCAGCAGCAGGCGGTGCAGCAGGCGGCGGTGCTGGCGCAGGCGCGACGTCGCATCAATGAAGCCACCACGCCCGGGGAGAAGAGCGCCGCGGTGGCAGCCGCTGCGGCAGCTGCTGCCGCTGCCGCCCAAAGTAATCAGTTCTTTAGCGCAATGGCCATGGCCGGGCATCCGCTGCCGTATCACTTGCCGCCACCGCCACCCCCACCGCCGCCGCCGCAGCACCAGCAACAACAGCAGCAGCAGCACCACCACCACCACCACCAGCAGCAACAGCAGCAGCAGTCCAACAACAATCAGGTGTCGGCAGCAGAACATAGTCATGGCCATGGGCCGCACTCGCCAAATCACGCACAGATGAACCACAGTCACAGTCACAGTCACGGTCACGGACACAGTCACAGCCAGTATCACCAGCACTCGCATTCGCACCATCTGAAGGCAGCGCAACCGACATCGCCGGAGGAGACGAGCGCCAGCAAGTCGCGTCATCTGGCCGCCGCCGCAGTTGCTGGCGACAAATCGAACAGCAGCTGCTCCTCGTCCAGCGCCTCCGGCATACAGCCGGCGAGCAGTTCACAGCGAATGACTCGGCTGGCGCTGGCTTCGGGTTCAGGCTCGGGCTCGGGCTCAAATTTGCGTGCGAGCCGAAAATCGGGCCACTCGCCGGGCAGCAAGCGGCAATGGGGCTCGATGCCGGCAAATTTGGGCACACAGTTCATCAATCCGGTGACCGGCAAGAAGCGCGTCCAGTGCAATGTCTGCCTGAAGACCTTCTGCGACAAGGGCGCGCTCAAGATCCATTTCTCGGCGGTGCATCTGCGCGAGATGCACAAGTGTACCGTCGATGGCTGCAGCATGATGTTCAGCTCGAGACGTTCGCGCAATCGGCACAGCGCCAATCCCAATCCGAAGCTCCATTCACCGCATCTGCGGCGCAAGATCTCGCCGCACGACGGACGCAGCGCTCAGCCGCATCCGCTGCTGCTGCAGGCGCCCAATGGCATCATGGCGGGCCTGGGGCCCTTTGGTAGTTTCCCGCTGTTGACACCGCCGCCGGATCTGCGGCATCATGCGCTGGGCGGCATGGAGCTGAAGCATGGCGCCGGCCAGGAGTATTTGCAGCGATCCTACATGGACAACAATGGCATGCTCGGACGGTACGAGGGTCAGCGACGCAAGGCGGCGCTCGAGGCGGGCGATGACGATGATGACGATGACGAGATACTCGAGGTGGGCATACACATGCCCGATGACGATGATGACGACGACGAGGCCGATGGCGATGGCGATGGCGACGATGATGATGACGATCCCGATGGTGACGGCATTGTGGTTGTGGGCGATGAGCTGGACAGCATACCCGACAAGGACAAGCACAGCCACGATGATTACATGCTGGACAACGGCAACGAAAGCGATGAGCGCTCCACATCGGCCATTTCCAGTCACAGTCACAGCCTCAGTCACAGCCACAGTCACAGTCACAGTCATAGTCACAGTCACAGTCACAGCCAAACCAAAGAGCAACAACAGCACAGCCCCTATCCGAGCAAGGCCGAGCCGGAGCCATGCCCGGAGCCCGATGAGCAACACGAGGATTCACAGAGCCTCACGGATTCGGCGCACGCCCTCGGCCAGACGCCGGCCAGCAAACGGAAGCGCAAAAGCCAAAATCCTGTGCGCTGCACCGTGCAATCCGATGAGAATTCATGTGACAATTCGCTGGATAACTACGACGTGGCCGCCGACCTGTCCATCAAGAAGATCAAGCTCAACGACGATGCGGAGGCACCCGATGCGGATGCGCCTCGAGCAGCCCAACTGGGCGCCGCCACAGCCAAAGAAGCCGAGGTGCTAACCAGCTCCACTGAGTCCACCAAGGCGATACCCTCGCCCCCGCTGACGCCCTACACCAGTGAGGCCAAGTCGCTGATTAAAATGGAGCTAGACGAGGAGGAGGAGCAGCAGCAGCAGCAACGGGAGCTGGCAACATCACGAAATACGAAAACTCTACAAGATGAGGGCGCTGGCACCCTGGATTTGTCGCTGAGCACGGCCAGCGGCTCGGTTATCAAGCAAGAGCCGCTGGACGAGCTGGCGCTGACATATGGCGCCGATGCGGATGAGAATCGCTATTTGCGCATCAAGCAGGAGCTGCTTGGCGAGGATGAGCACATCTTTGGACGCGCAGCGGTCGAGGAGAGCAGCAGCACCAACAACAACAACGTTATTATGACTGAAAATATGTCGGGCAAGGGTGGCGATTCCAATGGCAGCATCAAGGCGGAGCCAGAGCGCGAACCCGAACCGGAACCGGAGCCAGAACCGGAGCCAGAACCGGAGCCGGAACCGGAGGTGCCCATTGACAAGGAGAACCCATTGAAATGCACCGCCTGCGGCGACATCTTTCAGAATCACTTCCACCTGAAGACCCACTACCAAAGCGTCCATCTGAAGCTCCACCACAAATGCAACATTGACGGCTGCAATGCGGCGTTTCCATCGAAGCGCAGCCGCGACCGGCACAGCTCGAACCTAAATTTGCATCGCAAGCTGCTCTCCACCAGCGATGAGCACAATAATGTGCTGCTGCCGCCGGATCCGCTGCTGGAGCTGATGAGCATCAACAACAACAAGGTCTTTGGCGGCGTCGCTGGCGGCGTCTCGGGCACCGGCGGCCCAGCTGGCGTGCCCGTTACCGCAGCCGGCGGCATGCCCAGCAGCATTCAGGCCGAGATTCTGGCACGCATCTGCGCTGGCGCCCACGGGCTGAGCATGCCGCTGTGCTTTGAGGCGCTGCAGCATCGCTTCGCTGCCGGCCATGGACATGGTCAGGTGGCGGGCGGATTCGGTGCGGACGCAAATGCGAATGCGAATGCCTTCATTGCGGCAACCGATCCGCGCCTGCTGCTCAACCATGCCGGCAATCCGCTGCTCTTCCCCGGACTGCATAGACTGCCGCGCTTCCACCACTTGACACCGCACATGCTGGCCGGCGCCAGTGGGTTGAGCGCCTTCTGCAGGCGAACCTCTTCCGATTCAAATTCACAGCACTCGATAACACCGCCCGTGGGCGCACGTGGTGGTTGCGATAGCAGCTCGCTAATGGGTTTGCGACCACGATCCGGGTCCGGTTCCGGATCGCCCGAGTACGATGGCCAGTCGACGCATACGCATACGCATGCACATACTCACATGCACAAGCAGACGGCTGGCGAGGAGGCGGGACAGAGCCAGCGGCAGTCTCCAGATCGCATATCATGACCATGTACCTCGTACTATGCCAAGGCGCTGGCATTTTATCATTGAAGGATCGTCGTGGACAACAACAAATTCATTAAATGCAATATCAGGCTACAACTTAGGACTACTACAGCATTGCTCATAATCATAATCGATATTAATCGATAAATCGGTTAACGACTTATCGATCGGAGGAGAAGATATCAGAAAATTCGCAATCCAAACTGCAGCTTGGCTCGCCAGCGCTCATTATAACAATACTTTTACTAGGCTAATATAAAATATTAGATGGATCAACTAGCATTTTTTTTTCTATATATACACACACATATATATATATATATAAATATATATACATATATACATATATATATAAATATAATAATGAAACCCCCCTAATTTTTTTTTTTTTGAACTTGTATTTATAAAAACTGTTGTTTTGTGTACAAGCATGAAATTGTAGAGAATTGAAAAATAATAATACTTATTATAATGATAATGAAGAATGAATAATAAAAATTAAAATATATGATTAATAACGACGATATATATTGTTAGTGATACTCGATTATGTAAGCATAGCCTCTAAGCGCATACTTAACATAGATATGTGTGGGTGATGTCGTGTTTTTTTTTTTTTTTTTTATAGATTGATTCGTATAGCGACCCCAGAAAACCCCAAGTGTATTGTATGATAAACATAATAACATGAACGAGTCAACGATAAAATGTTTTCAATGGGGAAAACAAAACTGATTACCATTTACTTAATCGATATATACTTATGATCTTTCTATGTAGATTAACAAACGGTTTTTTTTTTTTGTTGTCTTCTTTTACGAGAATCCTAGAGTATCATATAGTGGGATAGTTCTGAAGCAGTAACCAGGCAAATACCTTCAACTCATATTTAAGCTATATATGTTTGCAATAAAATATCATGAAAAATATAAAACATAACAATGACTTTTTTCTATTTGGGCAAATGGGTGGAGCAAAGGTGTTTACCCAAAAAGGGATTAGAGATCTATATAGAGCTTTCCAACTCAATTAATTCAAACTGGAGAGATAAAACTTAGTGGCTGTTACAACTGAACAACGAGAACCTGGGTCCTAAGACCTTGATTCGGATACGAACAGCTTTGGTAGACAGCCCAAGAATATTTGTTTTAAATTATAGCCTCTTGCCTTAGCTAGAGTCCGAAACAGAAAACATTATTAACTATTTCTTTGGTGACTTTAATGGGTGAACGAGTTCCGAAATCAAGCAGGTTGCTGGTTCGAATCCCTGTAAACAGGTGTACTCTTTTAGCAGAAGACCGTGTGGTACATAAGTTGTGTGGAAGTATCCAATTATTATATGCATATTATAATTTAACGCTTCTAAGGAATACTAAGGAGCGTATATAATCGCTCGTCAAATCAAAATGAACTTTTGCTGGAAAATACTACAGTTACTAACATTATTTAAGGGACTTTTTTTTTAATTACAAAAGCAATTGCTATTATTTAAGACATTTTTAACTAAGTAAGGAAATAATAAAAGGCTAAATAGCAAGGGTTAATTTCATCATTATGTTGAGAAAAGATTGGAAGGTAATTGTTTAAAAATTAAGTATAATATTTCAGATACTGAAACATTGTTTCTATCAGGTAATTTTGTACTTATTGGGATGCCATACAGAGACGAATTTCTAAAATTGAATTGAATTGTGTGCGGCATTGGAAATAAGAATAAGAAATACAAAGGATACTTTTTTGCTAGAGCTCTGGAAGCTTTACATAACAAACAAAAGCGCAGCGAGAGAAACTTTTAAGATGAATTGGAAAACCCATCTACACATTTAATGTGTATTTTATTTAAATTTATTACCTATTGAAAATTGTTGCAGTTGAAATTGGCATACAATAAGTGCTGGCTTTTGGCATAGAAGAGAGCTCCAGTCCAGGGACTTAAAAGCATGCATGTGTGTTTGGAAGGGAGGGGGAGGGTGGAGGGGGGGGACGGGACGATTTGTACTATATTGGGATGCCATTGGTAAAATGCAAAATTGTAGTTAGGTACATTTTAGGGGGTTGCTATGCATGCGATTTTAATTTTAGATCGATTAAAATGGCTCGTAAATTTAGCTGCCTCCGCGGGGGCGTCAGAGTGTCCAAATAAATAAATGCATCGAATGGGTTGTACTCACATGTACTCGGTCGCCCACACACTCACACTCACACTCACATACACATGTGGGTAGTTACCGGGTGTATCTATAGATACACATATGCACATACTACAAATAAGTATCTCTGCTAGATGGCAATTTGGCTTGTGGTTGTCCATGTCACCCCTGGGCCGGTGTCGGTATCGGTGTCGGTGGCGACGCCATTGCCAATGCAATGGCCTCCCTTAGGAGAAAATAATAGAGGTTCGGTGTACGAGTAGTGCAATTTATTTAAAGTAACATTTTAGTGTTTCCTTCCGCTGAAATTCGTTCTCTTCCTTCCTGTTGGCAAGTCTCTCTGGCCGCGGCCAGAGCCTGCAGTTGCTGGCTACGTATTCGTACTCGAGGAATAACAACAGATTGTGGGCAAATAAAATTGCCACAATGTTATCGTTAAGCCAGCAGGACACGCAGAAACAACAAAAAACAATAGCACCAGCAGCAGAAACAACAACAACAACAACAGCAACAACAACAGCAACAGCAACGGGGTATCTGTATCCACGCGGCACGTTCATATCCGCGTCCCTGCCGCTTACATACCCTTACATTAAGCTTACATATGTACACATGCATGCATACATATGCCACCATATGGCATCACACATACAGTACATGCATGTGAGTATATACTGTACTTGGTATTTCTGACTGCATTCCATTTGCTACTATATTCCGACTCGTATGTACAGGCATATATATATATATATATATACATATATATATGTGTATATACATGTGTTTGTGCCCGTTGCAATTACACACATGCAAATAGGCGACAGTTAGCCCACGCATACAAACACACTTGCATTCGCACCTGTAAACACACACACGCACAAGAGATATGACATTATATTGCATGGATAATCTTGTTCTAGATGCAATTTTGACTTTTGTTTACAGCCCGCTTTATGGAGCAACGTAATTCTGCATTTTTGAACCCAAAGCAGCAACATTTACACACATCCAAAGACACACACACACACTCGCACACACACACACACCGAACAACTAATGAGCGTGTTTGGCATTTTATGGGTCTCGTCGCAACGCTTTTAAGACAAACAAGCAAAAAAAAAAGCACAAACAATGCGGCTGCCTAACTCTGAGTTACCCTGTAAAACATTTGGAAAATGTAGTTCAGCTTATAAAAAGAAAAAAAAAACTCTGCTTGTACTTCTGACTCATGTCGTTCGTTAAAGTTAGAGTCTACTGTTATATTTGTTGAGAATTAACAACCTTTGAATGCCAAGACAAGCATTTTATTTAATTAAATAGATTACGGAGAAACTAAAAAAATGCATTGTATATTTAGTAGGCAGCAGCTGAAGGATTAATGAGGAGGACTTGCAGCTAGTAAACTAATACAGGGTATACATAAGTAGACACACTTGCTAGCCTCTCTCTCTCTTTCTCTCTATCTGTATGTGTGTGTCGGGACATGTACAACTACAGAATGTATTACATAATTTTAGCAGTGCGCACAGACAATTGCCGAGGCAAGTAGACAGGTAAATATCAGTCAGTATATACCACATTCATGTACATATGTGCTACATGCATGTATGCACACACATATACACTACTCATATGCTGTTATATAGACACCTTGGATGCCACGGATAATGCAGTCCATGTCTAGCCCCTAACGTGCAATTGTTAAATTTGGTCTGCCCGTGGCAGTGGGTGGAAATGTGGTCTCGGTCTGGGGCCTGGGGTCTGGGTGTGCTACTGGTACTGGGTTTTTGGTCTGTTTACGGTTCCGGGACCGTATTTTGTACACAGCACAATCGCTGTACAGATGTGGTGGCCAAAAACTGATAATGTACTCCTGCCAACTGCAACTAATTTGTTAGCGAGGACCTTGCAGTCAGTCAGGCGTTGAATCGCATCGTAAATATCACATACATATGATAGCATATACATGCAGACAGTACACTTTATCCAGCTATTACTATATAAATACATATGTGTAAATTAAAGATAAAAATGCATAGTTCACAGTAGGGAACAACTGTAATGCGTATGCCTAACATATCTTCATTATTGTGCTCGTTGTTGATTTCTATTGATTCCAGAACGGATTATATATATATATATATATATAAAGTAAACTTCTTTGGGTAGCATGATATAAAAATCAATGTTGGTTGAGTCAATTAGGCAACTGAGAAGCAAGAAACTGGAAACAGACTGTACATATGAATGCTCTAATGTGTTATAAGAAGGTCAAAGTAGCCTGCGCTATCGAAGAATTTTATGGCTCATACTTTGTGTAGTATATAATAATTATAATAATTATAATAATAATAATAATAATAATAATAATAAAAATAATAATAATAATAATAATAATAATATTAATAATAATAATAATAATAATGATAATAATAATAATAATAATAATAATAATAATAATAATAATAATAATAATAATAATAATGATAATAATAATAATAATATTAATAATAATAATAATAATAATGATAATAATAATAATTATAATAATAATAATAATAATAATAATAATAATAATAATAATAATAATAATAATAATAATAATAATAATAATAATAATAATAATAATAATAATAATAATAATAATAATAATAATAATAATAACAATAATAATGATAATAATAATAATAATAATAATAATAATAATAATAATAGTAATAATAATAATAATAATGATAATAGTAATAATAATATTGATAATAATAATAAAAATGATAATAACAAAAATTACAAAAAAGGTAGCAAAAGATATAGATAATAAAGAAAAATATTAGAAATTTAATTTTTTAAACTGAAATTGTTAATTTTTAAATTCGAAAAACGTATCGAATTATAGGAAATTTAACCAATGCCCAATGCAAATGCTAAGTACAAGAGTCGACAAATCACAGAGGATGAGAGCCGCGAACATTTACAAATATTTCGTGACTTGATAGACTGGATGCAAGGCAGGCAGGCAGACAGGCGGGCTGACATTGGCGTGGGCCGAAGGGTTGTGGCTATTGAGGATCCTGGAAGGGTCGAGGGTCGAGAGTTGGAGTTGGGCAGGCAGGTAGAATTAATCCAATTTAAAAAGCGCTCGGCTAATCCAAAAACTGTTCGCAAATTCGTTGACTAAGTAGCTGTGTGTGTGCTTCGGCTGGGATCAATGAATGAATCCCATGGCTTTGGCTTTCATTGATCTGCATTTTCCAAAGCCCGATATGTGGCCCAGTAACGATTAGAAGGGCGGCTGGCAACTATCAGCATTAGCCGTCAGCTAATCTGTGGCGCAGGATATAGACGTAATCCCACAGCTTGCGCACATTTACGGCGTATTCCTCGTACACAAGATGCCCAATAAATAGCCCAAGCCACATCGTTGTCTATCACAGTCAATTGAGAACATTTACGGGCGACACACGCTCTGCAGAGCAACGTTAACAGAACATTAAACGAATTCCAGCGATATTCAATGGATACTGCGCCCGTGTTCCAGTCTAGCTTCTCCATACGCTCTCTGCTCTCCAGCACGCACCTGAAGGAGGAGGAGGAGGAGGGCAAAGGAGGGGAGGCGCACAAATATTATATGAGCGCCAGTCCAAGCGATTCCTGCAACAGCTCCGAGGATGCATCCTCCGAGGACGGCAACACCAATTCCCCCACAGCCAGCAGCAGCAGCGTGGGCAGCATCAAGTCGGACGTGAAGCCCGCCTTCACGTACAGCGCCCTAATTGTCATGGCCATACGCAGGAGTCCGGAGAAGCGTTTGACGCTGAGCGGCATCTGCAAGTGGATAGCCGATAATTTTGCCTACTATCAGAATCACAAGAGCGTCTGGCAGAACTCCATACGCCACAATCTGAGTCTCAATCCGTGCTTTGTGCGCGTGCCGCGCGCCTTGGACGATCCGGGACGTGGTCACTACTGGGCATTGGATCCGTATGCCGAGGATCTGACCATTGGCGAGACAACCGGCCGTTTGCGGCGCAGCAACAATGCGCTAATCAACCGCACCAAGGCAGCGGCTGCTCTGCAAGGTCACCATGGCAAGAGCCATGGCTATGCGCATCCTTATCAGCAGCTGGCCAGCAATCCGAACGCCGCCGCCGCCGCCGCCGCTGCTGCTGCTGTGATGTATGCGCAGCTCTTCAAGCCGCACGCTGCCTACTTCCCCATCATGCCGGATGCAGCTCACCACCCGGCTCAGCCGCAGCAGCATCCAATCATGATGCAGGGCAACCAACATCCGAATGGAACTGGCTTGGGCGCCGGGCTGGGCATGGGCACGGGCACGGGCATGGGCACTTTGGCTATGACAACGGGCCCGGCACAGCGATACCAGCATCAGCATCAGCAACAGGGGACCTTATCGGCGCCTTACCATCAGACTCAGACTCAGTCTCAGTCGCAGGGGCAACGGCAGGGCAGCAACCACAACAATTACTACCAGCGACATCAGCAGCAACAGCAGCAGCAACACCAACATCAACACCAACACCACCATCATTATCAACACCAACACAATTATTATCTACAACAACAAACACAACAACAACAACAACAACAACAGGAACAATACGCATCAGCTTATAATGGCCAATGGATGCGACAGCCAATTGAATGTTTGTGGCGTTAATTTTCAAGTTATCCAAATTATTTAAATGACTCGAATTATTTATAATTTTATTTGGGGTGTGCATGTGTGTGTGTGTGTTTATAGTTCTAAGAATCTTCTACTTTCTTTTTTTTTTGCCTTTGTTTAATTGACACCAAGCATCAAGTTACCTTCTTTGGCGTAGAACGCGGTTAAGTTACGTAGTTTAAACACTTCGATTAAGCAACATTTTTAATCTCTTTCCACTCAAACATAACATTAATTCATATTTTAAGTTTAATATAATCAAGTGAATATAATCAGGAATAGATATATATTTAGTTTTTAAGGATATATTTATATATAAGTACAGCGCAGCAAATAAGTTATATAGGGATACAAATATCAAATAAATAATACAATTAATTGTCGTAGACAACAGTTCGCATTATTATTTTTATTTTATTCAGTCCCGGGATTCAATTTAACTAATTTTAATTTAGAGACCCTGCTGCAGATCCCCTTTAATAAGATTTTATTCAGGTGTATAGAACTTTCGTTATTTTAAGGACTTCTACGTCAAAAAAATTCAAATTGAAGTCGAAAATATGCTTATCCTTGATTAAGTATACATATATTAAAGACAATGAGAATGCATCGATCAACTTTTTTTACTTTTTGAGGATTAAGAATCAAGGTAAAACTCTCGAACAGAGCCTGAGATTTGGGGCCTGACTGGACATTATTGGTACAAATTAAGTACCCCAAAAAGAAAAGGTGCGTAAATTGGTTCTTCAGGAAGAATGTTTGAATCAAAGCAATAAAAGAGCCATTTAAAATAGTATCAATTAATATTGCAATTCTAAAGACGATTGCATTTAAACAGGAAGGTTTTCAATTGGAGAACATTTTTTTGCTGCTTGAATTGGACCTTCAGCGAGCATATTTGGCAAACCTGTCAGGAATTTTTAAATAATATTTACTACTATTGAAAAGCTAGAATCGATTGCAATGGAACTGGAAGGGTCTACAATTGTCATATTTGTGGCTGCTGCGTGAGTTGGTTCTTCAGCGAGAATATTTGGAGAAAAAAACAGAAGGGACACATTAAATATTATTTATTATTTTTGCAAACCTAGTAATGATTTCAAAAGAACTGGAAGGTTCTTTGAATAATTGACTGGGACATTTATTGGTGTTCAGCCAGTTGCCCCAATCGAACAGCTTTAGATTTATATTACACTAAAGACTTCGATAAACCGATTGTCATTTATTATAACAATTATATAGAAAAGCTACAAGACTAGCCTAGGATTCGAACCAGCCTCCTTCTTTTATAACTAATTACTAGACAATATAAAAGGCATTTCAGCCTCTTCCCAAGATTGTAAAAGTCAGCCGCCATTTAGCTAAGTCAATGCGTTCGCGTAGAAGACGACTTATTTGAGAGCTTAACTTCAATTCGACTTAAAATATTAAAATAAGCTCAATTATACTGAGCTGGATTGTGCTGCTGTTTGGAGCCAGTTCTGTTTTGCTGTTTGTGGTGTGTTATGCATAATTATGACCAATTCGTGGACTAAGCTTGGCTTTTATGATTTAGCATTGCCGCTTAGCTACACCTGTCGCATGAGGCCAGGCGAAAGGCATGCAGTGTCATCATCATCGTCGTCGTCGTCGTCGTCGTCGTCGTCGTCGTGCATGGACATGCTCATCATGATGTTCATTATTATTATTATTATTATCAACAACATCATAGAGCATCATCATGTGGCTGCCGGCTGGCTTAACTTTGGCTCGTAACTTAATGCTAGCGGTCAATAGCATTACGCCAGCAACAACAACAACAGCAACAACAGCAACAACAACAAATGGCTTATGAAAAGAGCTAATCTGATAATACAGAATTGAAAGGGGCGGTCACGGCACGAATTTTGCTACACGCTCTTGATACTATGGGCAGCAGCTTAGGCCAAAACCTGGCACTCGAATCGGCGACGTAGACGGAGACAGTGGCTAACTCTGGGCCTGGACCTCAGCCAGAGCCACAGCCTCAGTTTCAGCCTGAGCCTCAGCCTGAGCCTGAGCCTGAGCCTGAAGCCGATGCGACGATTGACGATGGCGATGCCAACGACGACATCAACTGTTGCACCACCACCATATTGGTATAGTGCACCGCAGTGCAGCGCAGCGCAACGCAGCGAGCACATGCGAGCATAAAACAGAAGGGATCGATGATCGGACAGCGAAATTGCATTTGTCTGCGGCTGCAGCTGGAATTGGGAGTTGGTGCCTCGTACTTATTATTGCCAACATACATACGCACATATATATTTATATATATTTATATATATATATATATATATATATGTATATAGCCAGGTACACGGCCCCATAACGATATCGAGTAAAGTGCACAGTGCACACTGTGTACAATGTTCGAACATGCATAATGACGAGAAGCTGTTTGCCGAATGCAGCATGCTGCATGCTGCAAGCTCCCTGTTGCTTGTTGATGCTGCTGCTGCTGCTGCTGCTGCTGCTCGTAATCTGTTGCAGATTGGCGTCTGAGCAACAGATGTCAATAATTCAGTACCAATAGCGTACCGGGCCGTCTCTCTCTATATTTATGTGCTATGCGTACTATGTGCCACTTTGGATCGCTTTAATTTCCTTCCTTCCTAACTGGCTTTCTTCCTTATATTACTTTTTTTTTATACTTTTCTTGATTGCTTCTCTCTGCTGTTAGAGACTTGCCACAAGTTCTTGCACAAAGCAAGAGATTAACGAAAAATACAAAAACGCAGCGAAAAAAATATATATAAAAAAAATAAGAAAAGAAAACACAAAATCTGCTCAAACTCAATTATAAAAATTTCAACCCAATCTCAATTCTTGCGAAACTGCTGTTTGTGAAGTTTTTATTATTGCCGTTCTGGCTTTACTTCTTCTGGTCCCGATTTCAGAACCCTTATGGCTGTGTGTGTGTGTGTGTATGTGTGTATGTGTGTGTGTTGTCTTGTGGTCATTCGTCATTTTAAGTTTGCACACACATACAGATGCGATCCGTACCCCAGAGTCGACAGACAGTCCCTATTCCATTGACACTGATATGTGTGGCAAGGTATGTCTTTTGAAATGACAATCTGCAATTTGCTATTCGAAACCGTTTAAAGTAATTTATTTTTTCCCTTCCGAGGACGCGATCCGCGTCGCTGCTGACGCGACTTGTTTTCCATACACATATAAAAATATATATATATATAAATAAATATTTATATATATATCTGTACATATACATATATATAAATATATACACAATATATGCATTTGTACACTTTGAAAAATAAATTTGTATAATACAATTCTATTTTATTTGAGATAAATTATCTTCGATTTCGAAATATTGGATCCAAGTTAGAATCTTTCACAACTGAGTCTCTAGGGAAGAAACTTCTGTCTGGCAACAATCGTTCAGAAATTTATTTTATTTTTAATGTTTTTTGAATAACTTCAACTTATATTTCCCGTATTTTATCAGATTACTTTATGTAACAGCTGTTTGGAGATCTGATATTCAATCTTAAGTTCAAAATAAAATTATATATATATGTAAGCAAAAGTCTAACCAAGTCGAAAATGCGTGCAAGACCCAAATTATTTTGCCTGGGATTTAATATAAATCAATCTGATCAATCAATCTCAAAATAAACTGATTTATTAAAAATATTTAAATATCTAGAGGCAAATCAAGTCGAAACTATTTTGATTTGGAAACTAGGAAAATCTTCGCTCACGTATATCAAATGAATAAATAAAATATTAATAATAATAAAAAAAAGAAATACTTCTAAAACCAGAGTTTTTGGATTTGTTTCTCTGAGTGTAACTGTCTTCAACTTCGATGCTGTAGAATGTCCTCTTCTGGCCGGCAATAAGCGCTGCACGCGCGGCCGGATGTCTGGCCAGATTTAGCCCTCTATGCCAGTGCCTCTCATTAATATAGACACACACACACACATATATATATATATATATAAATATATGTATGCTGGCACATACAATTATTGGAAACAAAACAACAACAACAAAAAAAGTGGTGTACTGCATAAAACAATTCGCAATAGAAGTCAAAGACAACCCCAACTCCAGCTTGGGGCACACATTGATGCATTGGCCCGAAGCGCTGTTCGATATTCGGGGACAAATGATGGAAACGAGCAGAAAAATGACACTGGCAAATTTGTTAGCGCTGATTAAGGGCATCGTAAGGCCATTTAATTAATGCTTTCTGTATGCCTTGAACATAACTCAAAGCCTCAACTGACTCCATAATCAATGGCCCGACTATGCTCTCGTATATGCTGAATATGTTGTGTGTGTACCTCCAGCTAATAAACAAAATCAGAAACATTTCGTTATGCTAAATTGAGTTCGTGAATATTTTATGCAGCCGAGCAATAGAATAGTTTACGCCCGAAATCCAAATCTGAGTCCAAGCAAGAACCCAAAAACCAAATCCTCAGCAACACTGACCGCTCCAGTGGGCCGTCTTGACGTCCTGATTGAATGGCCAGTAATACAATGGATGCACACACACACACACACACCCACACAGAGAGAGACGCACATACACATGTGTGTAACCATATGTCAACCCTTTTATTGTGGGTTGTCATTTCCGTCGGGGTCAGTGCGAGCCATGGCCCATGTCCTGCCGGCACATAAATAATGCAGCCAATTAAGGGTACGTACATGTCACACATTACATCATGTTATGCATGCGAGTACGTATGATACGGGATGCTGGCACCAGGTATCCTTCTCAACAAGGACACGGACAGACAGCAGCAGACAGGAGACAGCAGGTTCATGCATATGCATATGACTACCGCTGGGCGAAATCCTTATAAGTAGTTTTCCTCAGATAGAATCTGTGGTTTCTGATTTACACTCACGCTTCTCGCTCTACACAGCAAATTTTCAAATAATCAACTTTAAGCAGCCTAACTTTATACATATTCCTTCAATTAGACTTGGGC